GTTAATGAGGAGGGGAGAGACGATTTTTTAATTAGCGGGCGAATTATTGGGGAGTCACTCTGCGCCGAGAAAACATTGGGTTTCTTATAACCCCGTGACTTTCGTCGCAATATTAATTTTTTTATTGCAGAGATTAAGGGATGAAACGGGGGTTGATGGATGAGGAATTTAATTCTCCATTGAACAGTCTTTGTTTCATCCCTTAATATTAATTAGTCGGCGAATAAATCAACTGAAAAACATAAAGTAAACATTGAGTACAAGGAGGACAAAAGTCCCCCTCCGAACCTGTCACTGTCACAGCGGGACTGCTACTGCCGAGTTACTCACGCACCCGATTCACATTTACCGACAATTCGACCGGGACGCCGCCTTTCCCGTGGGGTACCAACTAACATTTTTGGAGTCAGTCAAACCCCTCGATTCGGGCCTCTACTCAGGTCTATCCTCTTTGCAGCACACCATCAATAATTCCTCCTAATTATACAAAATAACCTATTAATGGGTATTAATTGGGACCAATTGTTTGTCTATCAGCATTTAAATAATTTTTTGATTATATTCCAATCATTTTCGGCCCATTTTTCGCCTTAAAATGACATCCATGCACATCCATGCTACATCCATGCTACAACATGGATCCTTATTCGCCAGGGCGAATTTATCACCTCAGAAATCAATTTTCTCATCAACGTGTTTATTTTTCACGAGCTTTTCATCAGTAACAATATTTTCTGAGTTATTCCCTTCAGATTGTTCAATTTCCTCAGAAATAATCTCTCTAGAAACCTCAGGGTTCCCCTCGTCACTTTCCGCATCAAAAAACTCATCAACCTGTGAAAATTTGTCACTATTCTTTTTGAAAAATCTGACAAAATCGAAAATGGAGAGGATTCTATCCAGATTCTCAGTTTCTTCTGCTTCAGCGAGCAAATCCTCGTTTTCCGGCCCCTCTCTTTCTTTTCCTGAAGAGATTACCCCCTCGTCCAAAGAATCTCTTCGATTCTTTCCTCTTCAAATTATATTCCCATCAGCAATCGTGACATCCTCGAGATCCTGGAGAGCTTCTGAAGTATCAAAAGACTTGAAACGTATACTAACTTCTCTGTTCTCTGAGTACAGCGACGTTTGTTCGCAGAAAGACTTCACAGACTCCAAATCGATCTCCTCTTCGACTCTGGGGGTGTACCACATATTCTCCATCGATTCAGGGACTCAAGGTATAGACAAATCAGCCTCGAATTCATCGAATGTCTTCCCTCTGCAAATCTCTGGGGAATTAACCAGTTGTTCGTTCATCAAAGAGTTGACGTTCTCGGGGTAACTCACTATTTCTCTTTTTATCTCTTGCTGGGGCAACTGGGGACGACTTTCGTCTTCGTCCTCTGATATCTCGACGAAGGATATCTGCGTGTAAACGTAATCATTTATGTTGAGGCACTCCTCTGTGCATTCCCTTTTGATTTCTACTTCTTTTCAAGTAAAAAAAAAAAACCACATATGCGATAAAAACCCAAGGAATCTCTGAGTACGATTGTGAAACAATTATGAATAATAATTGTTTCACAATTTAATTTCAATTTAACATGTAACATTGAATTTCAGAATCTGACTCCATTCCTGAACCTCAGGTCTCTAAGCCTAACGGAACTACAACTCTACGAAGATGATTTCGGGGAGATTGAATACCTGGAATTGAAGACATTGAAGATGGTCTTTTGTTTAGTCACCCCCGGCTTCTCAGCTAAGGTGGCTGACATGGCCACACTTACTTCCTTCCACATGGACTCTGCCGGGGATTTTGGGAATGAGGGCTTGATAACTATGCTGAAAAACAATCGAGGCCTGGAGCGTTTGAGCGTAAGGAATAAGTCAGAAATTTCGCCTTGCATCATATAAAATTCATTTCATTTGTTTAAAATCAATTTGTTACAGGTATTCATTTCGGGATGAATGCTGATTGCATAAAATCTATTGCAGCCACACCACTGAAATCCCTAAAACTTCGTTTTTTGAAACTTCCTCCTAATGCTCATTTACTCAGAACGATGACTCAGCTGGAAGAGCTGGATGTCTCTGAAGTGAGACAGTTCCAAGTGAGCATCGTCTTACCTCTCGCTGCAAACTCAACACAGTTGAGGAGGATGTCGATTTTTGATTATCGCAAGAACTTGGAACTTATCAATCAGATAAATTCTCTTATCTCAGAGAACCCTCATCGATTCATACCTTTAGAATGGACAGTCTGTGAGAGACTTGAACGTTGTGTTCGGGGAGAAACTTTTTCTCCTCTCTTAACATTTGATTTCGTGCCTCAATTGCTTATTCATATACGATATTATCTCTCATTGACTTTTTTTTTCTATGTACTTATTATTAGTAAACCATTGTGTGTACACTATCATATGTATTTATTAATAGGAATTCATTAATTTCCCTGAAGAATCCCTGCGAAAACCACAGAAAATTCCCAAACTAATTTATTAATTTATTGAATTAATAATCCATATTTCACAGGCCTACAAGTGTTCCTCAGCATTCCGCAGACTTTCAAAATTATCTGAATGATGGAGGCAGATTTTCCTAGTCACCAAATAATTCGTTAACAATATTTCGAATTGGAACATTGATTTTATTGGAGAATGAAATCTCCTTGGGATTATTCCCGTTATTTTTGTTTAATTATCTTGATAATGATTGATTTGAGAAAAAAATGTCAAAAGATGTATTTTACCTACGTATTTTGTCATCTACAAAGAAAGTTTCTTGAAATTTCCTCTCAAACTTGCACATTCCCGGATAATCAAATAATTATTGGATCTTTAAAATCTGATAAAGGTCTTGCTGATTATTAGATCATTTCTCTAAATCATGGTGGTGAGGAGAATCGTTGGGAGACCTTTTGTGCAAAAAAATTACACTCCTGGAAAAGGTCCCTTGACTTTGTCGCCTCAAACCATTTGTTTACGAGACAATCTCTCAATTAGCGAACAATAACGGAATTTAATCACTCAAAACAGATCATATTTCCACAGCGAATGTTGCTCAATTATCTTGGTAACTAATAATTTCATATGAAAAGAATCAAGCGTCACTTTCCATTTGAAATTTCTTATATCATCAACTAATTGATTAATTTCTGCTATGTTACTAAACTCTAACTCATTGTTGAACTATCCTGCCCAAACAGACTCCTTAAATCTTCATTGAAAATAAAAAGAATAATCAGAATGAGTGACGTTAGTGATACTCTTTTTTTAAAAAATAAGATTTAAGGAGTCTGTTTGGGCAGGGTAGATAATATAACAGCTGACCCTAAAACAAATCACCAAACAGTTTTGTTTTCCAATGTTATTCTTCAGTAAACAGTCTCTTGTTATTAACTGTTCGAATTCATCAACCGTTTGTTGATAATTAAAGCCCGCATGTCCTATCTTTTAGGCTGTTCCCGATATTTCACAGACCTACAAGTGTTCCTCACCATTCCGCAGACTTTCAAAATCATCTGAATGATGAACGCAGATTTTTCTAGTCTTTGTAATTGATGAATTCCTCATTAGATTCATTTTAAATAGAGTCAAAATGGCGGTCGCAATGGGCGCGCGTGCGGAGGGATATCTGAAAGACGCATGCGTGTGCAAAAGTGGGGGGTCCGGCTTCGGGGGTCGACCCAATGTTCTTTGTCTTGTAAGAAGCAGTATACTACCCGGAGACAGTCACGCGCGATGACCGAAGCGGTAACTGGTGGTTGAGAGTGTGGGTGGTCGTAGCGTGGGTAACGTAGTTCCACCCTGGTCAGATCAGCCTCTCAACGTCCCAGGCTCTAAGGAGTCCCGGCTGATTCGCAAATGACTTTAAAACTCTCCCGAGTCGAAATACTCGGGAGGAGAAAGCATGCTGGGGGAATCGAAAAATCCTCCAGGACGAGTGTGAATTAGATTCACTAAGATAATTAGGCCGCAAGGCTTAATTTCCAGCCTGAGATAGGGGCTGGTGACGATATGCAGGAACCCCCCCCAGGGGGGGGACAGTATACTCCTGGTGGACCTCGCCCACTCTACCGTGTCACGCTGACGTTAGCTGAGCTATCCGTTGTCCTGCCACAAAAGACCTCTGAGTGGACGAGTTTGCCTCAGAGACCGGTTTTCGTTGAACCTCCCCTAAAGGGTCGGCTGGCTCCCAACATGCGAGCGATAGAGATGGCTAAAAAGTAGTTTCGATTTTTCCTGGGTGAACAACCCGGGAAAATATCCTTACAAGCATCATTGTCTGAAACACTGTCCCCCTGCATGGCCTTGGAGTAGTAAGAAATTTAAAAACGTGTTTCTTAAATATTTCACAATTGCTAGTTTTCAGGATGATGCATCTATTTGTTGACTAAAACATTTGTTAAATAAAATTTCATTAATACTAGAAAAAAAACATTGCATTCATTGGAAATTTCCAACTATAGTTTATTAAATTCAGTTTCATCAACTACGTATAATGGCTTACTGCATTCATTCTCTGAATTTTATTAAATCAATCCGATTCAACTAAAAAATATGATTATAATATGGCTTCAATCGGAAAAGCAGACCATCATTGCCGATAACACAGAAAATTATTTAATTATTCCCGCAGGCTCTTCTTCATTATTCCGAGATTTCCTCAAAGAAATAAATGATACAATGACGGAATCAACAGAGGAATAATGGAGAGCCAAAATATACTATTTCTATAGATCAGCTAACCATCCATGAACTGAATGATTCTACCCACAAAAATTGAAAAAGTTTACCCCATAATCTCTGTACCCACAGCCATTCAATTCTCCACAGGCCAAAGAAATTTATCTCAAAATCAGTTTTTCTTAGCCTCCCCATCATTCGCCTGAAAGTCTTTAAAAGTCTTACTCAGGTACTTAAAATCTTGGCACCTTCTCTGGCAACCGACACTAAAAACAGCTATTCATTCATTTTTGTTATGTTCATCCATTCATTCTTTCTCAAAGTTCTGATACCTCGATGAAACTTCTACCTCAGCAACGCATCAATCTATGTCCCAAATTTCCATAAACAATGAGAGTCCGATGTTGACAGCAAACCCCTGATATTCCCGCAACTCAGAATCTCCCTAAACAATTTATTATGCCCATCGTCTATCTCATAATTCCTAGAAAATATTAATCAAATAAATGTTATAACAGTCACTCAATCAATTTGTTGATAAACGCATGTTTTTACTCATTCAAAGTCGTCTTTAAGCCTCTTAAAATTTTCAAAACATTCTTTTCAATCACAGCTTTCTACTTTTCTCAATGAACTTCCACATAGAATCGCTAATCAAATGAGCTATCTGTGTGGGACTCATGTTAACAGATTATGAAAACGCGCCCACAAAATTGGTACAGATTGGTCAGTAAATTGTAGATACTTCAGAAACTGTTATAAATTCATCACAATCAAAATGAGCATTATCAAGGAGGAAATGAAATCGAGCTGTAACCAGCCAGAATTCGAAACATGATAATAGCCATTGGAAAATACTACGATGCAATGGGGATAGGTCACACATATGGACCATCCTACAATTTGATCCTAAATCGTCGATCATTCTGCTCATCATCAGTAATACTACGTTTGCGTTTCCTCGAAACCTTTGGTTTCTTCACGCTCTCTTTCTTCTTCCTTAGAATTGGTGTTAGTTGATCAGCTAATTTCTTATATCTCTGGAACTCGTCGATGAACTTCTGCCATATCCTCTGTGTTGGGAAGGACACTTGCTTATTTTCTGTAAGGAATGAGTTTCTTATCAAGAGTTGTAGATGAAATACTTCAGATAATGATCTTTGTTATAGATAGAGTAATACCTTTGTCCCAATGTTTCCTGAAAATTACAGCGAGTCTGCTTATCGATTCCCCAATTGAATCGCAGATCATTGATCCATTGAGGAGATCTGGAACGAGCATGTGAGTTACCAGAATACGGCATTTGTGAGCCAAACGCTTGGCCGCAGCAAGCATTGTATTGATTATTTGTTCTTCCGAATTGATGTAACGGTTGAGAACAATTTTATTCAGCTTCAGCACTTGCATGTTCAAGAGTCTGCGATTGAAGGTCCTGAAATTGGCGGATAAATTGACTATTTATTCGCAAATTCTATGAGCATAATGACAGTAGATAATGAATCAAGTTTACTTGGCTTCGTCACTTTCATCAACTATTTCCACAGTTGTATTAAACTGAGTTACTCGAGATGAATAATCTGGCTGAACTTCAAAAGTGGCGATATTAAACTTGAATCCCAGAAATGTAAAATTTGTCTCAGAAAATGGTGACAAATTTGTATGAGTTTTGGAAGGTTTGAAATAACAATTATACTTCGGAATTCCTGCTCTGATTCGGGCTAAGAATCTGTGGACATATGAGAGAGAAATATATGAAAAAATAGCTGCAGATTATAATCGATTCTTGCACCCCGACGGAAGCATTCTAAGCATTCAAATTTAAACATTAAGCATATTCAAGTACTTTGGCTATTTTTTCTCCAGTGAAATGCTTTTCTACTTTTGTAGCCGAAGATCAGAGCTTTCATTTGAGCCCCATTTGACCCTACGTTTCCAGACATTTTGCAATGATTTTATTTTTTAAACTTTGCAGGTCTGAATTTGAATCTACACATTGAACCGTTTAAAAACATTTTAAAAATATGAAAAAAATAGAACGTGTACTTTTGGGAAAGATTGATGAAATAATTAAAAAGTAGCAGTTTTAAAAAATTACGGGCATTTTCTATAAATAATTTATAAACAATCGATTTTCCACCATAAAAAAAAATGTTCGGAATCACAACAAATTTATTCATAGTCAAAGTTTTGACAAAAATCGATTTCATGTCTAGGAAAATAATGTTTCCGAAACAATTTCATTTATTTATCTATCTACGAACAACGAATTAAAAAAAATGATAATTCTGTGCAAAATATAATCTTTATGAGACTAAATATTCAGGTTTTTTTCAAATTTCTCTCACACAATTTAACTGACAAATTTGATGATTCAAAATAATTGAATCTATAGTGTGGTCTGTACCAAACTATAAAAAATACTTGGATATCTGTAAGTGGTCGCAACTTTTCACCTGTTATGTCCGGAGACGTTGTCAGCGTCAGAGGACAATGTTTATATTTGAAATATCCGAAACACACGACTTGAATTATCAATTAAGGATGATCCAAAGGATTATCTTCAATCTCTTTCAAATTTTATTAATTAGGACGACGCTTCGCAGTCCTTTTCGGGGCGTTAAATGATGAAGAATTTATCTGGAGTCAGAAAAGAATTTGATGTAATCCATTTAGTACTTCCAAATGTCGATTAATTAAGTAGTTTATTGACTCTGACATTTTCGTTTCAAAACTAGCGTAATAATTTCGTTAGAATTATCAATTTTGATTTTATAATTTCTTTAGGAAACTAATTTACATTCTACATTTATTGCTCAAAATTTAAGTGGTGAAACATTGATAATTTCTTTATGATAGAAATAGTTTGGAGTTTTAATAAGTTGATTTCGGTTTTAATTAATTTCTTAGCAAAACTTTGATCTGTGAATCCTTCGATAAACCAATGATTTCTTTACGACAACTAAGCTCTATGGATGTACTTTACATTAGCCTAACTTCTTTCACTTTCTAAATACTAGGTACAGTTTGATGAAGATTTCAGTGGTTAAGAAAATTAGATTTTCGTGAGAACGCGAAACGAAATGTTGAATGTCCCTTGTATGCATGAAAAGAATCCGATTTCAGAGACATTTTACGCCAGTAGTTCAACAGTTCACGATCACAAATATTAATATTGATCCTAAATGATACGAAACGCGAATATAATTGTCAGAGGCTACCTTACATGTAAGAAAAGACACTAATCTCGACTCAAGGATGCAGTATCCCTACACAAATACGTCCGATAGCTGTCTACTATTATTCGACAGGTTACCACGCATAGTATCGCACTAATCGACTTTGCGGCGAATTACTATATAGGAAGGTACGTAAAAGTAGATCGATTTTGTGAGCGTTTTCCACCAGTAACTTGACGAATTCGCGATCACCAAAGAAAATTTACATTTCTCTTAAAGGGGGAAAGAAGCCCCCTTTAAGACTCGACCACTCCGGACGAGGAGCGATAAACGACTGATTTAATTTATGATTTTAATTATGGAATTGAGCGATGACCCAGTAAATTGTGTGGTGCAACGCTTGGATTTTTCGCTAATTAATTAGCAACAGCATGAGCTAGGCTGTCTTCAATTTCGTCAACTTTACGGGTGGAAAATGTATGTTGAGGGAATAAAATTGGGAAATGGCGACTAAAGTTGGTCATTTCTCAATTTCATAATACGAATTTTATAACAATGATGAATTTCCAATAAAATGATTGAAAAATTATTTAAAATCAAACGAACTTACCTGTAAGTGAAGTTCGATTGTAATTATATGAAGTCTCGTTCGAAGGGATTACAATCCTGATATTTACTTGTAGTACCGCTGATCATACAGATCGAGTCACAAGTTTAGAGAGCAATTCGAAAAAACGCGCCATGAAGGCCTGGTAACGCCGCCACCGACCTGTCGTTTTCATAATTTTTAGAGCCAAAGAAAATAAAAAGGGAAAAAATGTCACTTCGGGTGGATAGAGAAGACATTCGTCATAGGGCGGGTTGTAATCCCTTCGAACGAAACTTCATATAATTACAATCGAACTTCACTTACAGGTAAGTTTGTTTGATTTCAAATAATATTTCAGTCTCGTTCTCGATTATTAGAATCCTGATATTTACTTGCAGATGTTCACAGTTCGATATGTTATGCCCTAAATAACGTTATGAAATTCCCCTGTTGATCCGGATAATATGAGGACACGAAAGTGGCATATAATATCCGAAACAAAACAGAGAATGAAGAAATATAAAATAACGTCGAATATTCGTGCATTAAATCCACGTATATTCGACGAATGTAGATAACTGGGGTGCAGCGTCAGCACTTTGCGCCCCGACGACTGACCTTCGCGCGCGCTGGGAGACGTCACCCGATGCCTCGCAGGTGTGCGACGAAGAACAATGACCTGATGCAATCGAATTACACGGGTGCATAAAAGACTGGTGAATTCGTTGCTTCGGGGCCAGTTACTCGACGAGTCTCGAATTACCTTTTTTATACTTATTCTCGCCTGGTACCTTCAGTATCAATCCGGGTACTTATTTGTTTAATAAATGGTAAACTAAAGAAATCTTTGGCTTCCGGATGGATGCCGCGNCCAGATCATTATTCTCCTGTAGACTACGCAGTGCGAGGCGTTCCTTCCTGGTGATATTGTCACCAGGGGAGTGGCCTTGTAGAGGATGTTAGACAACTGCCTCCGGATCTCATTGCTGGTCTCCTGAGGAAGATGGTAAATCGCTGCCTCGGTACGACTGATGATTTCCTCGGTGGGGATCTTTTTAGGGGCAACAGCGAAGTTGTGTCCTTTCGCCAACACAGACACTTGTGCTTCACTGAGTTGAAATTTACTCAAATTCTTCACAGTGTGAGTGAGGGTTGGGACTTTCTCCTGGGGGATCAGTTTCTTGAACTTACCCTTCTGACTCTCCGTTCTCATCTCAGCTGTTCGGACTGCTTGTTCGTGTGTAACACGATCGAGAGTCTCCCACACTGAGACTCCAACGTCTGAGCCAGAAGAAGGTGGAGATCGAGAAGCTGTCTGGAGAGATGGGCCAGGTTCTTCTTAGCCGCTGTTATTCTCTCCTTAACCAACCGCTCGGGTCCATAACATATTTGGTGGCAGCGTAATTTTGGGAAGACGGAGGCCTGATCAACCACTATCTAATTACACAGTGATAGAGAACGAGATATTATCTGAGGAATTGGACTACTTGGGGGTAGTCTGGCCAACACGTGTAACAACCCTTTTCATCGCGGGAGCGAGAAGATTACCTTTGAGGTAAGCAAGCCGAAGATTTTTTCGTGGACCTTTCATCGAGGGGCGAGAAGCTCATCATTGTGGTACCAACGGAAACCTACCCTACTACCTTCGAGTAAAAAAAGGGATAGTACAGTGGAAAACCTACCCTACTACCTACGAGTAAAAAAAGGGCTAGTACGACGGAAAGCTATCCTGGCAAGAAGGGATAGTGCTGAGATAGTAGCTACTCAGGTAAGATTATTTTATTTTTGGCCAAGGGATAAATAATCGATATGTCAACTACAGGAGCTAATGGTAGTCGACAAGAAAGTGATTTTGATTCTTACTCCCCGCTGCGCGGGGAGCAAGGAGGAATCTATTTCATTCGGATGGGGAGATTGGCAGGAATGTTAACCTGCGTTGAGGATATACCCAATCCTTGCATCAGAGCATGTTAGCCGCCAATCAGCGACAGGTACGGGCTGAGGTTCACCAGGAGGCTGGGGACGAGTTACCGGACGAGTTGCCTAGGGCTGGGCTAGCTAATAGTACGCAAAGAAATGAAGGGAGAATATCAAATTCCTCAAATAATGTACGTCTTCGCCCTGTAAATCCTTCACAAAATGTGCCTGGGAATCCCTTCGATGACGTCGAGGAAATTCAGGAGGAGGAAGAAGGAGCAGGGGAGACCAATGAAACACCTGAACAGCCATTTTCTACACCAAGCAACGTCTTCTTTCAGGCGGGGGCACTTGGAGCAGGGGGTTTTATTCCAAATCGGAATCCTGAGGATGGGCGTCGTGAGACCATGCAACCCGACGTAGAAAAATCGGGGGAAGAGCGACCACCTAGACGTCTTGATCATCTCAGAGGGAAAATCATCGATTTGCATGAAAAAGTTGCGACTCTGGAGATAGGAAACAGGAGGAGAGGAAAAAATGCGGCAACTCCTGGAATCTGAGCGTCTTCGTCGGGAGGAGGCAGAAAGAGAGAGCAATGACGTCAGAGATCTGCTAGCAGACGCCTGGGCAGAGCAAAATTTCCAGAATAATCGGGAGGCCATACGGACGCATCTCGATTTGAAGGGCGCACTGCAGATGGTTCGCAATTTCGGAGGAGAAAATTCAGATAAATTGGACGCCTTCATGAAATCAGTTGACAGCGCCAGGAAGCTAATCCATCCGGAGCTTTAGGATCTCCTATTGGAGGGGATTCTAGGTAGTAAATCGGAGGGCAGCGCCATGAAACAACTGAAGTATAGAACAGTAATGTCATTGGAGCAATTAAAAACTGAATTAGGGTCACTTTTTGGGAAAACAAAGAGTCTCTTGGGGCTTCAGGTGGAGTTTAGTCAATTGCAACAGAAGGAAAACGAAGATGTTACCAAATATGTGGCTCGTACGGAGGAGGTCACTTTAGATTTTCTAAACGGCCTACTGAGTCTT